GCTGTGCTACAATCCCAAAGGCATGAGGCTCGAGGCCACCATCTGCTCCATGGGAAAACCCCCTGGAGGGTGGGCTATGGGTCAGTTCCGACTCAATGGTACATAACAACAACAACAACATACGTTTTTCAGTGGAGAGCGAGTTTACACAGCTTTATGGTGGTGTACGGCTTCTGATGGATTTATGGTGGCCTTTGGAGTCTGCTTTTCCACACTCTCATTTTTTTAGATGAGTCTGTTTTCCTTGAGTTGTTTTGCCACCATTTTACACCATTGTCCAGAACAGTTTCTGATTGATTTATTTTGTTAGTGTTTCAATGTGACTCTTTATGAGTCTCAGTTTCCAATCTGGAAAATGGGTCTAGTAATAGGGCCTTTCTTACACGATTATTGTGAGTCTAAGTTAATGTAAGCTTAAAAAACTTATAATAATGTACTGCTCGTAATCTGTCAGCAGATATACCTGGTGATGAGCTCCATTCCAGTGCCACAGAAATTCCCAGGGTAATACAAGGTTGAAAAGACTTGTCTGTCTGATTTTATGTTTGGGAAACAAGTGTTAAAAAAAACAACAACAAAACAACCAAACTAATAATAAGCACTTAATGGGTTCAGTGCCAATCTTATTCAGATTATTATTATCATTGTTATTACTATTAATTATTACGAAGCAGCATCCCGTCCATGGTGGGATTGTGAGTTACTGAAATGCCAAGTCGCTGAGGGACTGTCCTTGTTTATCAGACCAGCTCCAGCACTGCCCCAGGCAGAAGATCCCTTCTTGGAAGTGGCCCTAGAGGCCAGCTGGGAAAGAAATCCTTGGGTAGATCAACTCCAACCATATGTCAAGGTGAAAGATATCCTAGGCTTTCGGAGGGGAAGGTCATTAGTGGTCACACTCAGGAGTCATCCTCAAGATAACCAGATACAGTCTTTTCTGAGGCCCATCCTCTGGTGGCCTAGTGGTGAGAAACTGTTCAGCAATCCAAAGGCAAATGCGCTTCAAATCCACCAGTTGCTCCTCAGGAGGATGGGCAATCTCCTCCCATGTGATTTATAGCCTTTGAAAACCTGCTGGAGGGTCAGCTATAGTTCTGACTTGATGATACTCAACAACAACAACAACATTCTCTACTGAAACCCATCACGTATGTCCTCTGAGGCTGGCATCACCCTCATGTTGCAGGTGGAGATCTGAGGTTCAGAGATTTCCCTAGGCTAATGCCTTTGAAAGTGGCAAAATCAAATGAGCTTAGGCCTAGCTTGTGCTAGTTTCTATGATACTATTTGGTCCTACACTCAGGCCTGGCTTTTTGAACATGCAACCTGTCATCAAGACCAGTCCACATGTTTAGAAGGGCCCCACACTTGGTTTAATACTCTGCTGTCACCATCTTGAAATTCTTAATAGGTTTTTTCCCTTTCTTCTTTTTTTTACAATTTATTATTAATTTCAGTAAAAATTTACAGAGACTTTGGATTTCCATTCATTCATTGTTGCACTTTTCTCCTCTCCCAACCCTCCCCCCCCCAGTACACTACCCTCTTGGAAAAGTAAAAGACAAATTCTTTCATTGTTTTACAATCCCTCCCCCAGGTCCACTCCACTATGCAGCCTTCGCTCTAGACTCCTGTCATGACAAAAATATTTAATCACATATCCCTTTTAAACAGTTTTCTCCCTCATCTGTTTCAATGCAGTATACATTATTGAACCCATCTTTCTCAGTCTCTCCCCAACCCCAAGGTCAGTCCTGTTTTACAACAGTGGCACCATGCAGTATTTGTCCTTTTGTGACTGAGATACTTCACTCAGCATAATGTACTCCAGAGTCATCCATTTTGAATAATATTGCATGAGTTCCTTGTTTTTCAATGCAGCAGAGTATGCCATTGTGTGACTATACCACAGGTTCTCTATCCATTCGTTTGTTGATGGGCACTTAGGTTGTTTCCAACTCCTTGCTATTGTGAACAAAGACGCGATAAACATGATGTGCATATATCTGCTTGGATGACAGTTATGGTCTCTTTGGGGCATATTCCCAGTAGTGGAACTGCTGGCTCTATTTGCAACTTTTTGAGAAAGCACCATACTGCTTTCCACAGTGGTTGCACCATTTTACACTCCCACCAAGAGTGAATAAGGGTTCCAGTTTCTCCACAACCTCGCCAGCATTTGTTGCTTGCTGTTCTGTTAAATGTCGCAATTCTGACTGGGGTGAGATGGTATCTCATAGTTGTTTTAAATATTTTTAATGTATTTTATTTTGCACTGAAACCTGCAAATGATCACTCTTTCTTTCATAGCAAGGATGTTTGCTTTGCAGAGAAGGAAACTGAGGGACAAAGAGGGAGACATGATATATACACAGCAAGTTGGTGGCAGAACTAAAACCAGGTCTCCTAAACCCTGTCCAGTGGAATTCCTACTTTTCACCTTGGGGATGGGGAGAGTTCAGAAAAGAGTCATGTGGCGTTAGTAGGTGGGCGATTCCTTTCCGATAAACTGCCTCCCATGTTGCCCTCTGGGACTCAGAAGTCTACTCGCTGCCTTTTGATTTGCTCAACCTTTGGAACTACACCTTTTTATCGGGCTGAGTAGAACCTTGAGCCCCAGTGTCTGAGTGAGTAGGGAAGTGATTCCATTTTCTAGAGTGGCATCAATGGGGCTAAGGGGCCTGGAGCAAGACACTCAACCTACAAGCAGGAATCATATTGTCTGTAAGCTTTTGTCTATTCTTTGTGGATCCAGAGAGACTGACTGACATTGGTCACCTCAGCTGGAAGGGTAGATATGGGTGTTCAGACATAGTGGTTCATACTCTGAGTAGAATCCTGCATGGGATGTATGTGTATGTGCTTGTGTGGGTGTGTATTGTGGGAAATACACTGTAGAGAGAGAATCCGGTCCTTTGTTGTTATTGTGTACCATCAAATTGGAACCAACTCATAGCTAGCCCTCCAGTGGGGTTTCAGAGGCAGTTTAATCACAAAGGAGGAGATTGCCCATCTTTCTCTTGCAGAGCAGTTGGTGGACTCAAACCATGTGCCTTTGGAATTGCAGCACAGCTCCATTCATTCATTGTTGCACTTTTCTCCTTGCTGACCCCTTCCCCCAGTACACTCTTCTCTTTGAAAAGTAAAGGAAGAATTATTTCATTGTTTCTTATCACTGTTGTTGGTATGTGCCATCGAGTCACTTGTGACTCATAGTGACCCTATGTACAATAGCCTTAAACCCTGCTCTATCCTGTGTCAACCTTACTGTCTCTGGCATATCAACCCTCATTACCCCAGTCACTGAACAAATCCATCTCATTGAGGTCTTCCTCTCTTGCACTGCCCCTCCACTCTAAGCCCCCTTAATGATATACTCATCTGCTAATCAGAAGTTTGATGAAGCAAGCCTTCCCACAGGTATCTCAGAAGAAATACCAATTAAAAAAAATTAGCCATCTAGAGCCCAGTTCTACTCAGACATATGTCTGAGTCTGATCTCCCCAAGTTAGAGGCAACTTAACAGCAACTGTCTAGAGAGGAGAGAAAACACTCTGTTCTAGATATTTTCATTCACTTTTACATTTTTCATGTATTGCAGATTTGGGAAATAGAGCCCTGGAAATATAAACATACTTAGAATGCCTACAGTCTATTGGGCAAGACAGATAATAAATCAAATAGTCACAGAAATACACCTATTGTTTTCTAGTATCCTGCTCCCCCATGAAGAAATTCCGTTTGAAACCACATACCCATCCAGCCAACGGGCACAATGGGTGTGGCATTTTGGAGTGAGTTGATTTGAAGTGCTCATAATGATGTGCTCCTCATAATTCCACCACTAGGGGGCGGGATCTCTTAAGATTAAGCGTGACTCTTTATTTTTCTGAAATGCTGTTTAAAATTCAGGTCCCCAGGAAGCTCTGGTGGCCTAGTGGCAAGAAGCTGCACTGCAATACCAGAGGTACGCAGCTCGAATCCACAAGATGTTCTGCTGGAGAAGGCGGGGCAATCTTCTGTACCAATCAGATCCGCTTTGGAGGTACGCGCACAAAAAATAATATTTTAAAAAATTAAAAAGAATAAAATAAAATTCAGGTCCCTAGAGTGGGGAGTGACACAGTGAGTTCATATCACAGCAGTGTTGTGACAAAATGTGGAGATGCCCTGGGTCCTTGATCCCAAGAGATGCTCCTGATGGGTACCACAGGGGGAACCAGAGGGCCACAAGACCTTCATCCCCTTTGCTGCTGCCTCAGTCCTGCCCCGCCTGGATGGAGTCAAACCCAGGTGGTGGAATGTAAGGGCTAATCAAACCCAAACCCACAATCCCAGGCAGCCTCGCTCTGGTCCCTGGCCAGAATCTCCCGATTCTTGTAACCTGCAGGGCCGGCTATGGCCCCTGTAAGAGCTTCCCCTCCCCCTCCCTCCCTCAGCCTTGCTGAGACAGGCATGCTTTTCTCAATGACAGCTCAGTGACCTCCTGCTGCCAGTGGTTGGTTGCAGGCAGGACTTGACAAGACATTTCAAGGTTCTTGAAAGACTCCCAACCCACCCCTGCGACTCTTTTTGGGATTCTACCAGCTCCCTTACCCGGAGGCCAAATATGGCGCTGTGCGTGGGGTCAGGAGTTAGAATGTGGAACCCAACTTTCCCAGAGAGGCCCCAAGTAAGGCAGAGCGAGCACTCTGTGCCTGGGGCGTGGCTGGGCTGCCCGTCTTGTCCCCTCTACAAGAATCTGCATGATTCCTTCCTTTCTTGCTTCCTCCCCCTGGTTCCTCCCTCGACAACCTACCTGAGGGCAGGTAATAAAGCAGGAGGGAGATGGATAGATGGGGAGGGCGGGGAGCCACATGGTGCCATAAAGCCCAGCCAGAGAGGGCCTGCCAGGGGAGTGTCCAGGCTACAGGGGCCAATATTCAGAAGGTAGTGTTCGCAACATTCTGAGGCCTTTCGAACCCCAGCAGCGGACCCAGGAAAAGGCCATGCTCCGAGGCATGCCAGCACCAGGCCTCCGGGGCCAGAAGGAGGACTCGGTGGAGGGCGCAGAGATTGAAAGGGATTTTGGGGTGCTCAGAGAGAACGGCGCCCCCCGCGGCCTGGGCGAGGCCTCGGAGGCCTCGGCCAGGAAGCGCGCCCGGCCAGTGCGCTCTAAGGCGCGGCGCATGGCAGCCAACGTGCGGGAGCGCAAACGCATCCTGGACTACAACGAGGCCTTCAATGCGCTCCGCCGGGCGCTTCGGCACGACTTGGGTGGCAAGCGGCTCTCCAAGATCGCCACCCTGCGCCGGGCCATCCACCGCATTACTGCGCTCTCCCTGGTGCTGCGCGCCAGCCCTGCGCCTCGCTGGCCCTGCGCGCACTTGGAGTGCCATGGGCAAGCCGCGCACGCCTGGGCCGCCCGGGACGCAGGCTCCATTCCACTGCAGCCTGCACCAACACAGGCCGGGCTTGGCCTTGCACGCCGGGACACCGCCTGTCCCTCAGCGCCGACCTCACCGTGCACACATATGGGAAGACCCAGGGCCATGGCGCAGGTGCCAGCTTTGGCCCAGGCCTCTGCTGCAAGCTGGTACAAACGCCCGGGGACGCCAGCTACCTGGCCACAGAGCTACTTGAGAACAGGCCCAGGACTGGGCTGTCTGCACTCCTGATCTGGCCACAGAGTGCACAGGAGAGGCTGGAGGGAGCACAGAACGCACAGGAGAGGTTGGAGGGAGCCCCTGCTCGGAGGAGGAGCGACTGGCTAGAGGACTATAGAAACGCCCTAGGCACAGGATGAGAGACCAGGAAGCGACCGACCTTGTGGGTGGTCGAACGCCTGGAGCCTGGGGCTGCACACCATTCCCACCCTGGACGCAGCCAGGAGAATGGAGCCAGATCCTGCTTGACTCTTCCCTTTGCACTCCTTGAACTCTTCTGGGAAAGTGACCTTTGCATTCCAGTGCCACTGAATCTTCTCTTGCTGTTTCTTAGGAGAGAGGGGGCTTTTGGACGGGGGGGGGGGGGGGGACACACACTTGGTGTAGGAGTACCTGGTGTGATCTGATGGCACAGCGTGGGGGTTCTCACGCCTGCAGTGCTTTCTCAAGTCAGTGATCTGGGAGAAGCTATCAAAAGCAGGCAAATAAAAAGGAAACGGCGGCGCCATTTGTTTGCTATCACAACTCCTCGGGGGGCACTGACTCTGGGTAGCAGCAAGGTCAGGAGGGCCCTGAGGCCCAGGGGTCTCCCCTCAGTACTTTGGTTCATGCAGGTAGGTACGTGGGAGCATTGGTTCATGGCAAGGCCCAGGTGTGCCTGAGCGTGGGCCTCAGGATGTACTCGGGTTTAGCTCCCTGGGACCTCCCTGTAGAGCTGCTGTTTCAGCGAGCTTGGAGGAGGCTGCTGTGAAAGCAGAGCCTGGGAAGGTCTCTAGAGGGAAACCGAGGGCAGGGCCAGGCATTGGATGGTCAGCAAGCAAGCCTTCATGGTGCAGTGGTTAAATGCTTGGCTGCTAACTGAAAGGTTAACAGTTCAAACCCACAGGGAGAACGATGTGGCAATCAGCTCTCAAAAGTTGCCAAACCCCACTGCTCATTTTAACTCTTAATGACCCCTCTGTTCAGGTTTCTGAGGCTGTAAATCTTAATGATGATGTCATCAAGGCTCCTCCCATAAGGATTACTGACTTGAAAGACCTATGTATGGGACAGTTCTACTCTGTCCTAAAGGGTTGCTAAAAGTCAGTTTTGACTTAAAGGCACCCAACGAGCCCTGCCTGTTACCTGAGTGATGGGTAGATGGAGCTCTCAGGGAAGAGGGGCCAGTGCAGCAGGGGCCTTGGTGATGATTAGCAGAGTTGGAACCCAAAAAGATTATGAGGAGGCTGCTAGGGGGCAGGGTTCAGATCACTTTGGTGGCTTATTGGTAAGAGGAACTGCCATGTTGACCCAAAGGTACTTAGAATTCTCCAGCTGCTCTGTGGGAGAAAGATGGACAATCAACTCCTACCTCTGAAAACCTGCTGAAAGGTCAGCTAGAGGTGGGTCTGACTCAATGGTCATAACAATAGTTGGGGGTCTGGGAGGTACAGTCAGCTACTCAGAGCAATCTGTCTGGAGAGCTTCCCTGCATCGCTGATGGGCACCCTCAGGTATCTGGCCTCACTGAGGGCAACCAGGCTGGTGAACCACATGCCCCTTGCTGGCGTGAGGCTCCAGATATGTCAGGGGAGTGCTAAGGGTTCTCCTGGTCTCCTTAGAGAGCTAGATTCTTGCTAGTCAGAGGCAAGGTTACATTTGGCCAGCCCAGAATGGGGTACTCCATGCTCTTAGGCATACTCTGGGACAGGTTCCCCAGCGCACGTGAGATGAGGCTTTCAGTCAGACTAAAGATATCTTTGCTGCAAGTGCTGTCTGGCTCACTTGGTACCCTTATCCAAACCACAGGCTCCAGGGCTCCCAATAGCACTATCAGGGAGGTGGCTGCAACCCAGCCCACAGTCTGGCTTCGACACTGGGGCACAAGGCTCATGGGGTCCAGCCAAGAGCAAGGTGTGGTGCTGTGATCCCATCCCTGCCGACCAGCCTTCCTCCTCGGGGTGGGGGTAGGGGTATGGAAAGAGCTAGATAAGCCTGGGCTGACCCACTAACCACACTGACCACCTGGATCCTCATGTCTGACGTGATGATTCCATCTCAGTGTGCTGTAAGAATTAACATTTATTCATAAGGTTTCTTACACCGAGAAGATCAGCAAATAGTTGTTTGAATATTTTTATAACCTTATGATAGGCCCCTGACATAAGGGAGCTCTTGTGGGCTAGTGGTAAGGAGCTGCACTGCAATCCCAAAGGCAGGTGGTTCGCATCTACCAGCTGCTCCATGGGAGAAGGGTGGACAGTCTCTTTCTAGGTCACTGCCTCTGAAAACCCGCTGGAGGGTCAACTGGAAGTATGTTTCGACTTGATGGCACACAACAATGACAGACCTGTCTGGACATTGCTTGCCCTAGTTTTGGTCTTAAGGCTTTAGCCTTGTTTTGAGATTTTTATTCTCTGGAAACAAGATAACACGACCAGCATCTTCTACTGTCTGAACTTCAGGGCAGAAAGAGAGACGGGTTTTCACTTAATGGCACTTTCAGCCGAGGAGTGGCAATGATGCCCTCTGCAGGTGAAAGCACGAACGTGCAGTGGACTTGTGTATTCAGGTCAAGTCTACCGCGACTCAGAGACCCTATGACTGCAAACCTGAACCTTGTCCTAGCCTGTGCTGTCCTCACGAACTCCTCAAAGGAGTTCACTTACCAGCACAGTGAGGGAGAGCAAATCACTGGCCAGCTTTGAACCTTGACTGAACCTTGCTTTCCCTACCCGTATAATGCGCTAAAGTCATGCTTGTTTCGTAGTCTGTTGTGCAGACTGAACAAGATGATGCACTTAAAGTGCTTATTCTAGTGCCTGGCCTGTACATGCACGTCCTGAGTGGAAGCTGTTAAGATGCTTTCTCTTTACAAGTTTGCTGTAGGCAGAAAGCGTTTGGGGTGTTTTCAGAAACTTGGAAAAGCATATGGCACACCCGTTACTATCATTAGTTCTTCTGTGCTCTTGTGTGCACATCTGTATATGCACCTGTGGATTGTATTTTGAAGTCCTCGGGGGCACAAACAAGTAAGTGCATGGATCCTAACTGAGTCTTATTGGTTCTGTTCAGCCAGAGGCACCGCAGAAGAAAGGCCTGGTGACCTGTTTACCTATGGAACACAGTTCTACTCTGATACACAGGGGGCTGCAGGGAGTCAGAAGTGACATGTTGGCAACTGGTGTGTTTTGCTGTTGTTTTGAGTTGTTAACAATATGTTTCTTAACATAGATAGATGTGTGTGCTTTTGGGGGGCATCTATGACTGTGGATGCGTGGCTATTTGTGTGTATATATCTCATCTATCTATCTATCTATCTATCTCTATCCTATCTATCATCTATCTATCTATCTATCTATCTATCTATCTATCTATCTATCATCCATATCTATCTATCTATCTATCTATCTATCTATCTATCATCTATCTATCTATCTATCTATCTATATCTCTATCCTCTTCATGATATTTTGGGGGATCCCAGGCCAGAATAGGATAGGCCAAGTTATATGTCTTCCATATTTTCTGGAGGGCTTGCTTGATTTAAAAAAACAAAAAATCAAATCTCTGCGCACTTGCTTGGTGCTTTCATCCTGTTCCCATCCTGCCAACTTTTCCAGCTGATACTCTAAGATTACCTATTGGTTGTGAGGAGAAGGTAACATTTGTGATTATTAAGGAAATAGAGGTTATCAAACAAGACCAGATGGGCTTGTCTATGCAGAGGGGAAAAGTCAGTACAGTGATACATGTTGCATGAATATAAAAAGTGTCTTGAGGGGAAATACACAGGAGACAGCTGAAAACATTATGACCAATAAATAGGGCACACACACACACACACACACACACACACACACACACACACACGGAGGATTTACTCAAATACTGTTCAAAGGAGACAGGGCTTACTTTTAAAGGACAGCGAGCAACAACAACTCCATTATTTCTAATAGCTTTCCAAAGGGCTTTCATATGTTCAGTAACTTGATTCTTTTTAGCAAGTATGCAGCTTCCAACCCTTCCCTCACGTGCGGTTTGTGTGTGATCATGTATGTGTGTGCAATCTACAGGAAGCTCCTGAGGTGGGGTGGGCTGGGCTAGGAGGGCTCCTTTGAAAGGGGTATTTAGTTAATCATACCTGCTCTTCCAGTCTCCAAGGATTTCCCTGACACCTAATGAACTGCCAGAGATAAAAAGCACAGGTATGAGGGGGCCTTATTCCCTCTTCTCCTTGGATTAGTCTGAATGTAACTTTGCTCCTGAAGTGTGTATCTTTGCCAGCCTCACCCCACATTCCCCAAATGACTGCATCTAGGTCCATGTCCCCCTGCTGTGGGTATGCTAACCTCACCCTTCTTCATGATTTGGGCTGCACGGGAAATGGGCTGGGCAGAGGTGGAATTGGCATGGGTGTGAACACACTTGGGCACTTGCTTGTTGCTTTCATCCAGCCAGTCTTTACTATGGGTCAGGCATGCCTGGGCTAGGGGCCTGGGGTGCACCTGCCCCTTCCAGGAGCTCGTAATCTCAATGGGCAAAGGGGGGAGTTACTTTCGTCAGTTTCCTGAGTGCACTCAAGAAGCAGAGTAAACCAGTCTGCAGCAGAACAAGAAAGAAACAGAGGCACCTATCTAGCCAGACCAAAACCTCGTGGCCCAGACTCACTGGGCCACACCTACTCTATTGTGCTGGCCAAGGGAGGGCTCAATGCTCTTAAAGGCTGCAGATGTTTCTTGCTGTGCAAGGAATGAACCCAAGCTCAGATCTTCATGTTAAAATTATGAACCCTCAATGTTTATGTAAAATCGACTTTGAACATTGAAGGAAGCTCAGGTAGCCTAGTGGTAAGAAGCTGTGCTGCAATCTTGAAGGCAAACGGTTCGAATCCACCAGATTCTCTGCTGGAGAAGGAGAGGCAATCTCCTCCTGTGCCAGTCAGATCCATTTTGACAGTACACAACAACAACAAAACAACAACAAAGTTCATTGAGTCGATACTGAGTAGGTCAAACCCATTTTATGGGTTGAATGATGGCCTTCAAAAAGGTTGTGTCCGGGGAGCTCTGGTGGCCTAGTGGCAAGGAGCTGCAACTATAATCCCAGAGGCGCAAGGTTCGAATCCACCAGATGCTCTGCCGGGGAAGGAGGGACGGTCTCCTCCTGTACCAGTCAGATCTGATTTGATGGTACACTCACACCAAAATAATAATTAAAAAAAATAATAAAAAATTAAACAAAACAAAACAAAACAAAAAGGATGTGTCTATGATGGGCATGGGGATGGTGGCATGGCACACTTGAGGACCCCTCCAGCTTCCTCACTGCCTCTACCACACACTAAACTTGTCTTTTTTAAAGAAAAATATACTGGAGAGGCAGGTGGGGGGAGATGTGTTAATGTCTCAACTCCTGGAAGCCATGAATGTGGCCCGATTTAGAAAGAGGGGTGTAAAATGAGATAATTCTGGATTATCCAAACCAAAAAATACAAACCCATTGCCCTTAAGTTGAATCCTGTCTCACAGCAACTCTCAGCTGGGTTTCTGAGGATTTATTATTATTTTTCTATTGTGGAGTGGCTGGTGGATTCGAACCACTGACCTTTCACTTAGCAGCCCAAGTCCTAACACATTTTATGACTAGAGTTACTTTTGCATTATCCAAGTGGATCCTAGATTCATTGACAAACTATGTGTCAGGAAAAGCCTGGAGCTGGTAGAAGCTGGAAGAGGCAGAAAAGAGTCTCCTTCAGAGTTTTCCATGGAAGAAATTGGTCATTGATTTGGGACTTGGGATCTCCAGAGCTATGAGAGAGGACATTTCGGTAATTTCAGGTCACTGAGTTTGCGGGAACCTGTTCTAACAGGGAAACACAGGGAATTCTGCTATAAAACCAAGAAGGGGAGCTGTGTGCAGATTGGGGGTGGACCTACCCACCAGTCCTGGAACCCAAATTGGGCAACTTTTCTGCCCTCCTGGTCTGCTATAGCACCACTAGATGGTACTGTGAACCTAGTATCTCACGGTCTCTGAATACCCGTAAAGCCTGGTTAGTTCACTGGCCTGGATCACCCTGGGGACTCTTTGATTTCTTGTTTTTTTTCTTAAAAAGACTTTTCATCATGTCAGATTCACTCACTCCATTCATTGTTGTCGAGTGGGAGCTGACTCATAATTGACCCTCTGTTGTGTTTTTGAGCTGTAAATCGCACAGGAGGATTTCTTTTGGTTTCCCACCATTATGAAGTTTCTTAGGGAAGTCAAAAGGCAGCAGGATATAGTCGCTCAGTGGGGAAAGCACCTCAGCTTTTCGCCTGGGGCTTTAGGTCAGTGTTAAGCCATGGCATCTCCCCTCTCTAACACTCCAATGAACTTGGATGAAAGCTCCTAGCTCTGCTGCCATGGGGTGGGGGTGCCATGGGGTGGGGGTGCCATGGGGTGGGAGTCCCAAGGTCAGCTCTGTCTAGTGCTGGATCTCCTATTCTCTGCTACGGATGCTGCTCCTGTCAGCAGCACAGGAATCTTTGGCCCCAAAGGCTATATACTCTGCCTTCTCTGCCTCTCCTTTGCTGGAGGCGAGATTCTCCATTTCTGCTGCTGAATCCAGTCGATTTAGTATCAAGCCTAGCCAACACACCCCAGCTGCATGTTCCTTACCCATCATGTAGAGAAGTCGTTAGGAAAGCCATTTTGAACAATGAATCCTTGACACCACACACCACCCCATGGCGTTTCTAGCCATTAGCATTCATATTTGAAGCATTAACTTACAGGAAGATATCTTTCTCCCATGGAGCCACTGGTGGATTTGAACTGCCAGAGAAGCCCCCTTTGTATAGAGTCTGTTTTGCCTTCTAGGCTAGCACAGCCCAATATAATGCAAAGTTTTTCAAAAATAAAACACTTTTCCACTTGCTCACTCACTGCCATCCTGTCTGACTGACAGTGACTTCATTGGTTTCCATCTCACACACTCACATACTTAGGGCATGTTGCTAGGAGAGGTTATTCCTTGGAGAGAAACATCATGCTTGGGAAGGTGGAGGGACAGCTAAGAAGAGGAAGACCCTCAACCAGGTGGATTGACGCAATGGGCTTGTAGCAATGGGCTTGAGTGTGTTAGAGATTGTGAGCATGGCGCAGGATAGGACAGGGTTCAGATGGTTGCAATGGATCCTGCTGAACTCAATGGCACCTAACAACAACAATCACAGGGGTCCTTTCAGCACCCCGGGCTCATCCTGAGACCCCCCCTCCCCCAGCTTGTGACTCCTGTCTGCAGGCGCCCCTTCCAGGGAGCAGTGCTCCACTCCGTCTGCCTGACCCACCTCCCCAGCCGACACTGCCCAGTATAGAGCAGCCATTACCTTATGCTCCAAGCCAATGCTGATATCGCTCCCCTCCTGATGTGCGGTGGCTCTGGGCATACTTTTCCACAAAGGCAGCCGTCCAGAGATGGGCAGGCAAACAGCTGTGAGGGTTCCTGGGAGACACGCACGCGCACACATACCTTGCCTTTGGTTAGGTACTGTCTCTGCTGGAAGCAGCATTTCTGAAGCCTGGTTGATAAACAACCCCAGTTCCATGAAAATCATTCATTTTGTTCCAAACTAGTCTGTGTAGTCATGAATCAGGGATTGCTGTCTGATTGGGACAAAGTTTAAGAAAGATGTCATTGTTATGTGCCATCTAGTTGAATTCGACTCATAACTGACCCACCAGTGGGTTTTCAGAGGCTGTAAACAGCACAGGAGGAGACTGTCCATTGTATCCTGTGAAGCAGTGGTGGATTTGAACCAACTGTCTTTGGGTTGGCAGTGCAACTCCTTACCGCTAGGGTTATCTAATATGTAAAAAATTTAAAAGATTTGAATGACACACCTCTGAGGCCCTTTCAACCTCTAACTTCTCATGCTACATCATTCAGGAACCTAGGATTTGAAACTATTTATTAGACCTTCCTCCAGAACACACACAGACACAGACACACACGCTTTCAGATCATCCTTGTAGACCAGTGTTTGGAGAGAGATCAGGAACGTAGGGATAATGAGATGCAGAGGACAGAGAACAAGAGAGAACTGGAGGGAAGAGACACACGACGGAGTAAAGACAAAAACTCAGTGAGGACAGACCACAGAGCCAGAGCCCTTCAGAGATGACTCTGCCCTGAACAGCTCTAGGACCGGCCAGTCTTTGCTCTCTAACTTCACAGAAAGGCTCACATGGGCTGGGCTGGAGCCTTCTTCCTCTTACCCCCTCTTGGCTTTCCTCCACCTGAGCTGCTTAGAGACCATTGAGTGGGGTTCCCCCGCTGACCACAGTGGAGCTCACAACTGCATTTTCCTTCCAGTTAGGAGTCAGGTTTTGGTCTGGTGGTCCCCTGGGGGATTGCAGTCTGGGTTAAATATGCTGTGATAGATCCAGGACCTGGTGTTTTCTCCACAACGAGGAGGACACATCACACTGGGGGGTCAAGAAGAGAATTCAAGGGCTCAACTTCCAAGCTGAACCCTTTGTGACCCACTTGGACTCTTTCCCTACCCAGAGCCCTCAGCCCATATTCGGGGCTGTGGTAGAAACCAGAGACTGTCTCAAGTCCCTACAGGCTGGGCTGAGCTGGGGCCTAGGCAGAACGCTGCTGCTGGGGCCTAGGCAGAACGCTGCTGCTGGGGCGGTCCTCTGGGGAGAACGAATTGAATAGAAAAAGCATCAGGGAGGAGGGTGGTTGGGAGGGGCAGGATGGCAGGAGGCTGTGTGGCTTGCACACACACTCACATATACACACACATCCTCCCTGACTTCACTTGGAAGAGGCGCACTCTTCTCTCTGCCCTCTGAGCCTTGGGCTTCCCCCGCCCATCTGTGCTGTCAGCAGCTTCAGCAAACTTGGCCTCAAACTTGAACGTCGCTGGAGCCTCCAGCTCTGCTCAGCTTCCCAGGAGCTCCGTGGGGGTAACAGGCAGGACCAGCCTCGGACCCAGCAGGCCTTGACGAGAGCCCATCATAACCCTCTCAGCCTCCTGCCAGGCCTCACTCCCCTGGGGCACACCGTCCCACCGTAGGTCCCCAGCTGGGACTGAGGGCATGGTGCACTGAGGTCCTTCAGAGGCCCCCTCATCTTGGCCTGGAGTCAGAACAGCCCAAAGCCCAGGCCAGCATGGCCAGCCCTGAGAAGCCTCAGTTTCCCCCAGCCCAGGAGCTGGGCACCACCTCACCCTCACCCCTGGAGCTGCCGGAGATGGAGAAGCTCCTAACCAAGACGGAGGACAAGACCCTGAAGCTGTCCAAGTCCCTTTCAGGGGCCCTGGACCTCGAGCAGAATGGCCACAGCCTACCCTTCAAGGCGGTCTCTGAGCGGCATCTGGAGGCCCCCCTCTCCCAGTCGCCCTCCAGGGCCAGCTCCAGGAGAGCATCCTCCATTGCCACTGCCTCCTACACCCAGGACCGGGAGGTTCCCAAGGATTACCTCATCCTCGCCATCGCCTCTTGCTTCTGCCCCGTCTGGCCCCTCAACCTCATCCCTCTCATCTTTTCCATCATGGTAAGTGCTTGTAGGGGAGCTGGGTTGGGAAGGGGACAGACACAGACATCCCACCTGGGGGCTGAAGGGTAGAGAGCTGTGCGCTGGACACGGGTAGAAGATGCCAGAAGATGCCCTCTCTCAGGGTCTGCTGGTTCCCAGAGAAGGGGTCAGGGGCCAGGGGGGGGCTTCCGTCTGCTGCGTTTTCCTCTCTGCTTCTGGCCATCACAGCTAGACTTTGCACATCTTGTTTCTGGACAGAGGGAGCCTCCTCGAGCTACATCTTCCTGTACAGACACGCAGTAGGGACTGAGGGGAGTAGATTATGCGCCTGTTCCACTTTCAAGCTTATGGAGGCCAAGTTGAGGATTTACCTTTGGTGTAGGGGTCACCTTACTGGGATTGGGGGCTGGGGACTATATTCAATAGAGGTTGCAGCTGGTATGGGGTCAGTCCTGAGATCCAGGAAATCCAGATGCGTCCCCACCCTAGGGACTTCATGTTCCAGGAACCTTTGTCAGCTCCAGCTCTGATTTTTAAGAGTTGAAGTGACTTCCCTACCATGCTTGGGGGGCCCTGGGCTCGTCTTCCCCTGGGGTCTGAGAGGAGGGGAGAATTTGCAGGCTGCTCCTCTAGGGTGGGAGTTCTCACTGGAGCCCCCTGGACGTCAATGGTGGCACTGAATTTAGTGTCTGGGCCAGGCAGAAGTGGTGTTGGTCTCAGTGGGGAAGGGTAGCTGTCAGACGGCCTGACCACAGAGCTGCAGAGGACAGGCTTTTCACTCACAGGCTGGAGGGCTTAAAGTTAGTTGCCTTAGATTGCTCTGAAATGAAACCACTGGGGTGGAGCTTCTTACAGAAGGACCCACAGATAAATGCTGTTACAAGATGGCAAGTGACTTTTGAGTCCAGGGAGCAAAAAGAGAAATGGGGAGGCAGGGCAGAGCCAGGATCTCGAGAATGACACTGTGAACGGGGGACAGTAAACTGCTGGTCCATGCTGGCAGGGCTAGAGGACCAGGTGGGGAGATGTTGGTTAGCTTCCTCCTGAGATAACCCCACTGCTGAGTCATCTACTGCCAACTCCCCAGGAACTGTGCTCCTGTCTGCTGTCCCCTGGACTCCCCCATCCCCAAAGGATGACCTCTGAGGATATCCGTATTTCCTCATCCATCTCCGTCCACTTCCCTGATCCGCATTAATCCTAAGCCGCTCGACAGGATTTTGAGGATATTCCTGAATCTGAGGGACTTGTCATGAGCTCAATACCCAGGACTGGGTAGGGCCCAGGGCACGGATCCTGGAGGAGCCTGGCCTGCTGCCCATCACACCAGGACAGAAGGGATCAGGCCTGGCCCTCAAGGGTGCAGCCAGTGGCTCTGGGCAGGGCCCACCTCTTGGTTACCAGAAAAGGCCCTAGAGGAGAGACAGCCTTTGGGGAGAGAAACCACACACGGCCCAGGAGTAAACAGTTGCTAGAATCCTGTTGCTAGAGCCCAGCTCCTAGTAGGGTGGCAGGTGGAGGCTGCTGAGGATATGCCAACTCAGAGTGTATCAAGAAGAGCTGTGTAGTGATGGGAATTTTGGAAGCAGAGCACTAGGCTTTTCTTTGAGGCACCTCTGGGTGGATTTGAACCCCCAACCTCTTGGTTATTAGCAGCTGAGCACGTTAACTGTGTGTTTGACCCAGTCATGCAGGCTGGATAGGAGCTGCCTTTGTTAAGCCTGTGAGACCACTGAACCCACCCTAGGGACCTCTGTGTCCTTTTAAGGTTCTTATATCAGGGCCCGGGTCTAGGTGTGAGGGACACTCTGCCTAAACTAGACACCATTGGCATCTCCCAGGAGGGACGATGAGCTTGCAAACAGATTCTTCCCCACGTGTGGTAGACACAGATGCAAGGTGTTGTGTGACCCTGGGCAAGTCACTCAAACAGATCTTCTCAGTAGTCCCATCTACAAAATGGGCGTGGCCACAATGCCTACATTTTAGATCTGCTATTGTTATTGTTGTTGATGGCCATTGAGATGGAACTGACTTATAGCTGACATTCCAGTGAGTTTTTAGAGGCTGTAAATTGCATGGGTAAAGATTGCTCATATTTCCCCCAAAGTGTAGTTGGTGGATTCAAACTGACAACAACAACAAAACCTTTGGTTTGGGAGCTAGCTCTCCTTACCTAGTAGGCCACTTTGTGAGGGTGAGGTGACACGAACACATAAGGTGTTTATGAACAACACCCACTGGGTAATCAGCGCTTCCACATGGTGATTGTATATAAGTAAAAGCTTAATTTTCCCATGGGGATGGGAAGACATTGTAGGCTTGTTTTATGTTTTAAAAGAAAAAAAAAACAACACAAGGAGGTCATAAGTTGAAATCTTAATGACAAAGCATTTTAGTTGGTTGGTTGGGTTTGTAGATTGTAGGGATTTCTAGCAATTTTTTAACACCTGAAGAGAAGTTTCTACTTCTGTAAAATAGAAAAATGACTAATCTCAAAGAGTTATAATTAAAATTAATTGTGTAGAGGGAAAAAAGCAGCTTTATGAAGATGTAATCACAACTCAATAAAATGGAGACTCTATTTTTTCCCCATACCACATAATTCACCTATTTGAATTGTACAATTAAATGATTTGGGGTTTTTAATTATTCTATTCACAGATAGGTGCAGCCATCACCATAGTCAATTTTAGGACATTTTCATCATCTTAAAATAAAGCCTTATGCCTTTAGCTATCATCTCCGTGCTCTCCCATCCTCCCAGCCCAAGACCACCACTAATATTCTTTCATCTCTCGGGATTTGTCTAGGGATTCATACAATGTGCGAATAGTCTGTTCTGGTTGTTTTATTTCTATTAAGCAAGTTTCCCAGCCCAATAAGACTTTCATCCTTGTTTTAAAGTAATCATTGGCCATTTGATATTAGACAGAAAGTTTTAAAAAGAAGTAGAGTACTCACTTCAGCAGCAGATATACTAAAATTGGAACGATACAGAGAAGATTAGCATGGCTTCTGCGCAAGGATGACACAAATTTGTGAAGCATTCCATATTTAAAAAAAAACACACACAAGAAGAAGTAGCGTTCTGTTGGCACAGTCCATAGGAAGTTGCATTATGAACAACAACAAACCCCCGGAGGGCCAGCTCTGAATTGGTTCTGACTTGGTAGCAATGAAAGATAAAGAGATAAAGAGAGAGAGATTTCCAAAGCTTGAGAGATTTCCAATGACTGGGAGCTTCGGACAACATGACCAAAATATGTGCTAAGAAGTCTTGTCGTCCTTGCCTCTCAGGAGCGCTATGGTTGCATGTTCTCCATGATAGACTTGTTCTGTTGGCAGTCATGGTGTAGTCAATATTCTTTGCCACCAATATAATTCAAAGGCAGTGGTTCCTCCTTGGCCCTCTTTAATCCTTATCCAACTTTGGCAAACACATGAAGCAATGCAAAACACACAGTCTTTTAACTGACATCCTTTTTCTTTAGCACTTTAAAGAGGTCCTTGATAGCAGGTTTGTCCAATGCAATACATTGCTTGATCTCTTGACTGCTGCATCCATGGGTGTGGATTGTGGATCCAAGTAAAATAAACCCTTTGACAATTTAGAATCTTTTCTCTATTCATCATCATGTTGCCTACTTGTCCCGTGGTGAGGATTATTGTGGCTTTTTGAGGTGAAGGTGTAAATGATACTGAAGGCTATGTTGTTGTTGTTGTTATTGTGTGCCCTCAAGTTGGAGCAAAGCCTTAGCTGACCCTCCAGTGGGTTTTCAGAGGCAGTTAATCGCACGGGAGGAGACTGTCTATCATTCTCCCTCAGAACAGCTGGTGGATTTGAACCAAAATTCTTACAATTCGGCCACTAGAGCTCTCCTGAAGGGTGTTGTCTTTTATTTTCTTCAGCAAGTTCTTCAAGTCTTCTTCACCTTCAGCAAGCAAGGTTGTGTCATCTGCATATCATAGGTTGTTCAATCTCCCCTCAATTCTGATACCACATTCTTTTTCATATAAACCAGATTCTCGAGTTATACTCCTAATATTTTTTTAAATGGAAGTACGATGTGGTCAATTAATAATTTTGATTCAGCCTTCAACTGCATTATGGGAAATGGACATAATTCCCATGATTGGAAGGACTGGGATCTGGGAGACCTCATAGGAGGTTTTAAAGATAATTCACGTAGGAAAGAAACTAAAAAGTATGTTTGTAAAGAATGGGACTTATAAGCGGGTTAGGAAGGAGATAGGAACAATGGTTCGCTTTAGGTTAGAGTCTAAGGTGGCTCCCGGTTAGCTAACTCGATGATCCCAGAGGTAGCCTGAGGTTCTAAAACATTTAAGCTGTTGGCGGAGGGAAGTGGATGAAAAGGAGATTGAAAGAAACTTCTTGTCAGAGATGGAGGGGAAATGAGGAAAGGAGAGTCACTTAATTGGGAGTGAGTTTGAAGGAGGAAGTGGCCACATGCTGTGAAGAGGTCATGTTAGAGGAGGGTGGACGTGCCCACTGGCTTGACCACTTGAGGTAACTGGTGACCCTGATGGTGGAAAGGCTTAGGCCAGCGAGAGGGGGTGAAGGTACAGATGTGGGGTGACTCATGACCATGGTCTCTGATGCGATCTGTGTCCACAAAGGATGCCTTCCCTGGAAGTCTAGAGGAGAGACCACGAGGCCAAAGAAAGAAAGTGAAAGCAAAGAACGAGAGTGGCTCTGCTGCATGATCTTTGTGCCACCAGGAAAGTGAAGCACAATATCACTTACTGAGAAATAGGGGCTGGGGTGACAGAAGGAAGGGGGTTGACCAGAGACTGACAGGTTGACCAGACACTGACAGGTCAACCAGAGACTGACAGGCTGACACTGAACTGATGACTCTGCTGAAACACTAGTTCCCATTCACACGGCACCGTGGTGAGAAGGAGGGCTGGAGAGCGTGCAAAGAGTTCCCAACTGTGGTGCTGGAACGTCCCCATCCTGAGGACAAGCGTCTGTGGTGAAGTCCCTGTCCCCA